TTTTTTAGGAACAGAAAACATAAAATATATTTAAGTAATAATAGTGCAATAAATAAATATATAAATGATTGAAATAGTGCAGATGGCGAGGCTATTTTGTTTTTTGTTTTTTAGGAACAGAAAACATAAAATATATTTAAGTAATAATAGTAGTATGTTTTCCAACTCGTGCACAGTTCTAGAAACTTTAGAGATACAAACATTGCTAAATGAGGCAGATCTCTCTAGTCTAAAATTTGAACTGGAAAATTCTGTTTGGGCATATGAAGCTCATTATGAGTCCGTTTTAATAATTTGAATTATTTATTTTGTATATTTTATCTAAAAAAATATTAGATTGATCCAATAACTGTAATTTTTTCAATTTATTACATTTTTTACCCCAAAAAAATGTACGCTTTTTTTTAAAATTACAATTGTCATCTATTTTTTTTACTGAAAAAGTAATAAATTGAATAAGTTACAGTTATCAGATCGACTTAATTTTTTTCAGATGAAATACACGACAAAATGAAAATAAAGAAGAAGTGAAGATTGTGAATCAAGAACTATCTAAGAGTGGACATCTTCGTTATTTAGGCTCACTTATCACAATGGATGGGGAGATTGGAGAAGATGTAGTCCATAGAATTAAGGCAAGTTGGATTAAGTGGAGGAGTGTGTCTGTAGTATTGTGTGATAAACGAATACCCATAAACTAAAATGAAAGTTCTATAGAACGGCTATTACATCAGCGATATTGTATAGGATGAAATGCTGGACAAATAAAAAACAACATGTAGATAAGATGAGTGTTGTTGATATGAGAATGCTAAGGTGATGTGTCACAAGACTAAAAAATATAGAGATATGAATGAATATATTCCTGAATGTGTAGAAGTACCATTAATAGAAGATAAGTTGAGAGTGAATAGATTGGGATGGTTTGGATATATACAACAAAGACCAATAGAGATAATAGTGAGGAGATGCGATACAATTACGATATATAGCGATTCCGGTTTTGACCCGACTCTTTTTGCATCCCTGACACAGGTTTAATGGTTTCATATTGTTGTCTACATCTTGCTTCCTTTATACCTCCTTAAATTTGGACTTGGAGTTGTTGTGGTTGCGTTTGAGATAGGTTGGTTGCTTAATTTCTGAACTCTTACTGCCCAGAATTTTGGCTCTTCTGCTCGAGCGACACTTCTTGCGCTCGAGTAGGCTTTGTAAACTCTTAGTACTTTTGCAGGCATGCAAAATACTGGGAGAGTGTATTCTACGCTCGAGCGACCCTTTTTGCGCTCGAGCTGCCATTTCTTGCGCTCAAGCGTTGGTCTGTCATCTACAAAAGTACTGGATGTGTGTATTCTATGCTCGAGTGACACTTCTTGTACTCGAGCGGAACATTGTTTCTGACGCTCGAGTATCACTTTTCACGCTCGAGCAGACTGCCCGTATATCAGTTCATGAAAGTTACTTTTTATATCACTTTTTCATATTAGTCTCTCTCCAAACATTTCCAAAAAAAAAAAAAAACCTAGATCTAGAGCCTCTCTCTCTAAAACTCTCTCTTTCTCTCACTACATTTTCACTTAGATCTAGTGGGTTCTCTACCCGTGTGCCTTTGTTAAAAAGATAGTACGTCTCAAGATCTCTCTTTTGATCCGATTAAAGCTTGATTTCGGTGTCTCTGAAGTTTCTCCATCTTTTTCTTTGGTCTTCTAAGCTTGAGGTAGGGATTTTCTACACTTTTATATGGTTTTTAACTTAGTTATTTAATGTTACATGAACAAGATTGAGATTTTGAGGATTTTAGAAAAACCTAGGGTTTCGATTTAAAATCTCGAGAGGGGTTTTCAAATGAATGAAATGGAAATGGTTATGAGAGTAGATATGTCACGCACCCAAATTATTACAATACATCTAATCCTTAAAATAGAATGTTAATAGAAATAATATGCTTTCATTTATCAGAGTTCGTATTACAAAAGATAACACATGCAATAGACATTGAGGTGAAATGAATTGACATGAATGGAATTGAGATAAGACATATTGGAATAAAAGAATTTGGCATATTATGATGTTGTAAGATATGATTGATTTTACGATGGGCATTAGACATACATTTCATGCTTGTACATTCGTTAAGATTCATATATTGTGTTAGATTGTTTCTACTGGGTTTTGGCTCACCTTATTGGAAAAACCATTTTCAGGTGCTGGTGACATACCTCTGCCAAGACAATAGCTTGGAGAGACTTGGAGTAAGGGCTCATTTTTGTTGTATTTAATTTGTATGGCCAAGGGCTTTAACTGTATTGAGGTAGACTTCTTTTGTTGTAACCAATGAATGACTTGGAAAGATGTAAGCCGTTAGAGCACTTAATTATCTGTTCAACTTTCATCTTTTGATTACTAGTAACACATACTGTAGATTCATGATAGGATATTTATAAATGTATATTTCATGTGTTATCGTTTGTATATTAACTCTGATGAATGAAAGTATGTTGTTTCAATTATATTTCCACAAATGAGATGGGTTTGTCGTGTTTATATTTTTGGGGCGTTACACGATAGATGGAAATACTAGGCACTATAGAAAAATACACATTCAGAAACTAAAAATGCCGACTACAAAAAAAAATATAGTCACCAAAGGTACACACTTTAGTTACTAAAAAAAATTTACCAAAATATTTACAACAACGGCGACTAAAATATTTTGTGGCTAAAGGTGACATAAAATGGAGACTAAAATACTTGGTCACTAAATGTAGTATTATTTGCAAAAAAATTTATTGGCAACTAAAAATGTTAGTCGCTGAAAGCTGAATTCATTATTATTTGGGAACTTTCAATGACTACAATTTAGTCGCCAAAAGTAGTCAATTAGCGACTAAGTCAATCTTAGTAGGCAAAAAGTTGTGAATTAGTGACCAACTCTGTTTTAGTCACCAAATATTTTGGTCGACAATTTATCCCCGACTAATTAGGCGACAAAAATATTTAGTCGCCATTGACTTGTGGTGGCTATTCGGCGACTAAGTTTTTAGTAGCTGAAGGTGTATTTTCTTGTAGTAGGAGTAGACCTAAATTAATATGAGATAATATAATACATAAAAATATAGACCTTCTTAATTTAACTAACCAAATAGCCCTTGATATCAACCTCCTTAACCATTGAACTAATATTCTAATTTGGTTCACTTTTGCCATTGCTTGATGAATCTTGACGTGAGCTTTGTTGTAACAAATATAAGTTGCTGCAGAATCCACCACAAGCCGAGAACCATTTTTTGACCTGATAGATATGGACTTCACATTTTTATTTATTTATTTATTTATTTTGGGTATTCTATACATATTTAAATAGAAAAATTTACCTATAAATTTCATATTGAGAAATGATGATCCGTTTAATCTCAAGAATCTTTTATAGACTAATTAGTCACATTGATTTTGGAAATGAATATTTAATATATTATTTAAAAATGGGATTTAAAAGGGCAAATTACATATACACCCCTCGAGGTTTGGCTAAATTACAGATACCCCCCTGAGGTTTGAGAAATTACGAATTCCCCCCTGAATGCTATATTTGCATAAGAAATTAGGGGGTAATTTGTTATGAAATATAAACCTCAGGGGGTAAATTGTTATGAAAATACAAACCTCAGGGGGCGGGATGTAATTTCCGAAACCTCAGGGGGGTATCTGTAATTTAACCAAACCTCGAGAGGTGTATATGTAATTTGCCCGATTTAAAATTATACCTTTATTTCTATTATGTTTTCTTCTTATTTTTTTTTTTAATTTTTCTTTTGTGTTAGAAAGGTAAGATACACAATCTATGGTAATCAAATTTGGGACGAATTTTTATATGAGAATCTTTTTATTTGGAATGACATGAAAAGTGAGATTCTTCAAACATTTCAAAAGTAGTATAAAATTGACTTGAAATATGGGATTCTTCAAACATTTCAAAAAGAGTACAAAAACTCCTTAGTAACTTTTGGGCAAATGTATAATTTAAGCATAACACTCCAAAAAAACTCCTTAGTATACTTTTTCTAAAAGTAACACTTAAAAAAAAAAAATTTTAAAATCCTTAGTGTAATATTCCAATGTAACACACAAAAAAAATTTGTTAGTGTACTTTTCTTAAACATAACACTCTAAAAAAAAGAATGTGAGATTTTTCAAATCATTCCAAAAGGAGTACAAAAATTCCTTAGTAAGTTTTTGGATAAATGTATAATTTCAAATTGTGAGTACTACATTTCGGAAAAGTAGACTAAAGGAGTTTTTTAGTATTTTTGTGTTACATTAGAGTGTGTTACATTGGAGTGTTACATTTAGAATTACATTGATTGGAGTGTTACGTTTGGAAAAAAAATACATTAAGGAGTTTCTTTTGTATTTTACATTGGAGTGTGTTATATTGGAGTGTTACATTTGAGAAAAGTACATTTTTTTTTGTGTGTGTGCTACATTGGAGTGTTATGTTTGGAAAAAGTTGGAAGTGCTACGTTATTACGTTTGAAAAAAGTAAACCAATGAATTTTTTAATGTGTTATATTACAGTGTTACGTTATTAGAGTGCGACATTCTTGTTCGTAATGTAGGATTTGTTCCTTTTGTATAATTTCTATTTTAATGGAACTTTTGGGTTCATAAGAAAAAAAAATTGAGGATTAAACAGTTTATAAGATTACATTTTAAAATTTATTAAATATTCATTTCCAAAATGATAATACTCATGCATGCTTTTCTTTGTACCAAGTCAAACATATGAATGAATCCACTATCTCTATGTCTAATAATAAAAAAAATTGAATAAAATATATACTCATTGAGAAAATGAAAAAAAGAAGCAATCACAAACATAGAACATAGTAGAACAGAACACACAATCATGCCAACATCACAAATAGTACCATATGACAATCACTCAATCTACTTTTACAACAATATTATCAAATATTAGCCCAAACTTTGTCCATGTCTACCTCAACCACCAACTCCATTATTCCAACATTATCATATGTTACAATAGCAATAATAGTTTTCTGTCTTAACCTGCAACAAGGATTTAGAGAGAAAAACATGTAAGTTCAAGTGCTTAGTTTATAAGAATTTGGGAAAATGATGAGGTAACATGAAATCGCAAATAAAATGCATGAAATTTAAGAAATTATTGATAATGAAGAGTGGATAATAGGCAAAAAATTCAAGTTTTATGCAAAAAATAAAGGGTAAAATCTATTTACCTCTTTATGATATGACCCAATAGCATTTTACCTCCATGTCTTTTAAAAATAATCACATATTTTAAACTAAAGTATTATAGTTATATTTTCCATCCAAACTAAAAGAGAGTGTGTCTCACATTCTTATTTTGAAAGTGGAGAAGGAAATTTTTTTTTATTAAAATTAAATTTCAATGGAAGAAAACGAATCTAGCCTTGTTTTACCTTTTTGTTCTTTTTTAAATCTAAATTTCTTATTTAATAACATTTTAAATGTTATTAAAAATGACTATCTAAAAAAAATAATATTTTAAATTAAACATACATATTATATATATATAATTAAATTAGTAATGATAGAGACCCCTAATTTAGAGGCTCTAAACACACCTCTAATGAGATGAAAAAAAAAAAAACAAAAAAACTGACAGTGGCGTGGTTATATTAGAGGTCCCGCATTTTATAATTTAAATTAACCTAAACAACCTTAATTTATTTTATAAATTAAATCATCACAATTGTCAAACTAATTTTTAAATCTTTTAACCACTTTTTTTATTTAATAACATTTTAAATAAATATAAACCTAATAGATATAACAAATTAAATCATAATTAAACTACACCATAATCTTTTACCATAAATTACCTTTATTTAATAACATTTAAAATTAAACATATGCATAATACATAACTATAACAATTAAATTCATAAAAGCATGCAATCTAATTTTTAAAATTTTGGCTCAATTTTTATTTAATAAAATTTTAAAATTAAACATGTACATATATATTCTAACAATTCGATCCATAATTAAATTAAAATTATAAAATGAAGTTTATTTTAAATTTTTTTTTAAGGGTAACTCTAGTTTCTTAAATTAAGTTTTGTGTCATTTTTTTTTAAAAACTTATTGCATAGTCATGGGGGCAAATTTATTTATTTATTTACAAAGAGCAAAAATAAAAAAGAAGACATAAAGGGTAAAGTGTTATAAGAGTGTATACTAAAAAGGAGGTAAAATAGATTTTCTC